TTGAGGAGAGGGGACATCTGGATCCTAACTCCCAAGAGTCAAATGGCCTTGAGTAGGAGGGAGGATTGTCCATTTCAGCAAGTGTCTAAGTCAGTCATTCTCGAGTTACCTGAAGGGCTTGTTCAAACACAGAATGTGGGCAGGAGTTGTAGTTCAGAGACAGAATGCTTCAGCATGCCTGAGGCTGTAGTCTTGACCTCCAGTACCACTAAAGCCGAAACCCACACCACTCAAAGCAGGCTGTGGAGGTCCACTCACAGGTTCTAGATTCAGTTAATTCTGTGGCAGGATCCAAGGATAGCCATTGCTATCAGGTCCAAAAACACACTGTAGGAACCATGGTCCAAGGGGGAATACTAATAAATGTGGCCCCTGAGACCACACGTGGAGAAACATAATGCATACCTTTAATCCCAGCACTCAGGAGGCAGAGGCACATGGATCTCTGTGAGTTCAAGGTCAGCCTGACCTGCATAGTGAGTTCCAGGGGTACACAGTGAAATACTGTCTGTCTAAAATAATAATAATAAAAAAAATCAAAGGTGTTACTCATGGCAGATAATAAGACAAAGATGCTGTGGGATGTTCTGTATGCTGTGAATGTGTTGCTCTGATTGGTTGGTAAATAAAATGCTGATTGGCCAGTAGCCAGGCAGGAAGTATAGGTGGGGTAAACAGACAAGGAGAATTCTGGGAACAGGAAGGCTGAGTCAGGAGATGCCAGCCTGCCGTCTAGGGAGCAGCATGTAATGGCACACAGGTAAAGCCAGGGAACTTGTGGCAACATATAGATTAACAGAAATGGGCTGAGTTTAAATGTAAGAGCTAGTCAGTGGTGGGCCTGAGCTAATGGCCCAGCAGTTTTAATTAGCTTCTGAGTGATTATTTTATAAGTGGGTGCAGGGTCTGTGGGGCTGGGCAGGACCTGAGGAAAACTTTTAGCTACACAAAGATTTGAGTGTTTTCCCTGGGGGCCAAGACTGCAGAACTGTGGGGCAAAGAATTAGGGGTAAGACAGGAAAGCAAGGAGGCCAATAAATAGAGCACACACTATCAAGGACATTCCCATTATTGGCTCTTTGAACTTCTTCTACTGGGGGGTTCTGGGATCAAATTGTGGAGCAGACAATTCCGTTACCCACCTGATGAGAGTTAGCCAGGGTATAGACACACCCACTCTGGTCAGTCTATTTAGAAGCCTATTCCAGGAAATGTTCGTTTTCCAGCACCTTCTTCATGCCATTAAGCAAGCAGAGAAGGTGTGGTGGCAGAGGCCAGGCTGCAGGCAGTCAGGGCTGGGAAGTGGAATGAGAAGTGCTTTGCATGGCATTCATGTGTGTGTGGAGAATAAGACAGAAAGCCCAAAGGTAGCTGTACATGCAGAAACTGTGAATCAGAGGGCAGCTTTAGAGGGGTTCAGTCCTAATGTACAACAAACCAACCACTTTAATTCTTTTGTTTGTTTGGCTGGTTGGTTGGTTCGTTGCTTGGTTGGTTGGTTAGTTAGTTTTTCAAGACAGAGTTTGTCTGTGTAGACCTGGCTGTCCTGAAACTCACTCTGTAGACCAGGCTGGCCTTGAACTCAGAGATTCACCTACCTCTGCCTCTCAGAGTGCTGGGATTAAAGGTGTGTTGCCACCACCACCACCACCACCACCTGGCCAATTCTTTGTTTTTGTTTTTTTTTTTTAACTTCTATTTTTGTTTTATGTGAATGGGTAATATGCCTGTATGTATGTCAATGTCTTCAGAAGGTGTTGGACCTCTTAGGCCTGCCTGGAGTTACAAATGGTTGTGAGCTGTCATGTGAGCTGCCATGTGGGTGCTGGGAATCAAACAATGGTCCTCTGGAAGAACAGTCAGCCATTGTTCTTAACCAACGAGCCATCTCTCCAGCCCTCTTAATTAAAATTTGACATCAAATGTTTTCCCATTTGAACACATCTTGGTTTTGTTAACTATTGTCTATATTACCACCCATGTGCCAGCAATAGCAGACCGTCAGAGGACCTGTTTTAATCACTGGTCAGAGTTCAAACACTTGGTGTACCCAAAATGGTATAATTTCTTAATTTTTTTGTTTTAAGTCTGTCTGTATCCTTGAAATAATTCCTAATAATAACTTAACTGAAAAATCTTGTTTCTAAGCCAATGAGATGATTGATTGTATAAGAACACTTGCTGCCCACCCTGATTTATTGGTGAAATTAAGGCCACTCCACGTAGTTAAAAGGGAGGTTTATTTAGTGGCGTAACTTACAAATGAAGGGATAGGTAGGTTGCAGGCTCTGGAAAAGACGTAGCGCAGTCCTGCGGTGTTTTCTGGAGAACTCTGCTCGGTCTACCTCCAGCGTCCAGGGTCCAGGAACCAAGAGAGACAGTGCATCCGGATCTCGGGTCTTCAAGGTCCTCTCTTGGCCCCGCCTTGTAGGCGTGACAGTTACCGGAGCCTCAGTGGGGGTTGGAACTTCCAGATCAAGGCTGGAATGGCTACCCACTACACTGATTACCTAAGTTTGATCCCTGGGACCCACATGGTGGAAGGAAAAAACTGATTCCTAAAAGTTGACCTCTGATCTCCACATGTGTACTGTAATACATGCATGTATGTGTGTGTGTGTGTGTTACAGATAAAAATAAATTAATTTGAAGAATCCAATTTTCCAATATGACATATATACTTGTCATTTAACGCAACATGGCAATCCCAGAGAAAGGGAATGTTATTGTTTTGTTAAGTCCTATGTGTTCACTAACAACAGGTGTTCTCCCAAGTTCCTTTACAGTCACACTTTACACGTCATAAATGATATACACACTACAGAAGTGAATACATTTACACTCATGACTTTGCCTACAATTATAGGGGACTGCTAAACTACTCTTGTCCAACAAACAGGGTTTATGACTAGATACCTGCAATTGTCTATTTGGTTAGATTACTGAATTATTTCTGGGGAAGGCTTTAGGTGGCCCGTGGTTGTTCACCATTCATGGAAAGTGAATTTTTTAATCATTTAAAGACAAACACTAGGAGAATAATTTTCTTGATGTGTTGGCCCAGCTTGGCAATGTCATTTTTTCATCTGGACATGGAGACAATGTGTTTCTGCAGATAAAAAGATGCTCTTGAAATGACATGAAAATTTTATGGCTGGAATCCTAGAAGGATGTCCAACTGTTTTCAATAAAATATTCATGACAAAAGCACTGTGAAAGAGATACATTTCCCTTGGTATCATTTGAGCCTTTGAGTACACACAGATTTTTTTTGGGGCGGGAGGCAGGTACCTTTTTACTTACATGAGCCAATCCATGTTCATATTTTGTCTCTTTGTCTCTCTGTCTCTCTCTCACACCTCCACACTAAATGAGCTATATTTGCTATCATTTACTATTTAAATAGTTAATGATGAAATAAATTGGTACCAGGAATAGGGTGGTTTCCAGACAAATGCCCTCCCCACAGCCATACAGAACAGACTGTGCAAAGACTGAGAATTTAAGCAGAAAACAACTTAAAATGGTCTCTGCCTCAGCCTTATCTTCTTATGGGTAAATAAATCCCTGAGAAACAACTCAATAAACTTTCAGCGAATAGAACTTCCTACCTCTGCACCAACCTTTACAGGAAAAGTAGTTTTTAAGGGTAACCAAAATCAGAGTTCTGAAGCTTTGCTGTTAGGGCTGGATCCCAGATGATCATGTAGCCAAATCATTTATTTCTTCATTAACTGTGATGAACAGTGTGTTCATCATCCAAGTCCAGGACAGAGAACAAAATAGCAAGGGTTGCTCCTTTGAGAGGAACAGTGTCTCCTGGGGAAGACAGTCATAAGTATGACACAAGTATTGTATTGTTACTATTTCTTTTTCTACTGTTTTTTTTTTTTTTTTGAAACCAGGCTTCAGAGACCAAAGTATCCTAGAACTGACAGACATCCACCTGTCTCTGCCTCCTGACTGCTGGGATTAAAGGCACGTGCCACTGTGCCTGGTTTACTGCACAAAAATGAGTATACAAGAAGGCCTTGTCATCCTTGGGGGATCACAGGAAGCTTTCAAAATGGAATGACGCCTTCCTTAAGATCTGAAGAGTAGTAGACATTCATCAGGTGAAAGAAAAAGGAAGGCAGAGGGGATGCTAGAGAGGCTCAAAGTCCCTGTGATGGGTAGAGCTTGGAGAGAAGAATGGAAATTAGTGAAGAAGTGGGGGAAGGAAGTCAGGAGGAGGCCGGGGGTGGATCACGAAGAGACTTCCTGGCATATCTGAAGAGCAGCTTGGGCATTATTCTAAGAGCAAAAAGGAGTGATGGAGGAGCTTTACACAGGGAGGGCTGGGGCTGTGAAGTCAGGAGGGTGAAAACCTGGATCAGAAAACTTGGATGCAGGGAGTAATGTTTTCAGCAGAGGTAGCAGCAAAGGTAAACAGAGGAGGCTGACTCAGTTGTTATTGAGGATCTCTCTCTCTGTCTCTCTCTGTCTCTTTCTGTCTCTGTCTGTCTCTGTCTCTGTCTCTGTCTCTGTCTCTCTCTCTCTCTCTCTCTCTCTCTCTCACACACACACACACACACACACACACACACACACACACACTTCTGACAGGCTCTCACTAGCTTCAAACTCAAGATCATCTTACCTCAGCCTCTTGCGAGCTGTGATTACAGGCATGCTCTGTGGTGCTTGGCCTAGAATGTATCTTTTAACCATTATTGTTTATTGCTTTCTATTATAGCAGCTTTCTTTCTTTCCTTTTTTCTTCCCCTCCTTTCTTCTCTTCCCCTCTTTATTTGGGGGTCAGGGCTGTGGATTGAAACCAGGGCCTTGTGCATGCTAGGCAAGTGTCCTAATCTGAGTTACACCTCCACCTTCAAGTAACACTATTTTTAATATAGTTTCAAATCCTCAGAATGAGACCTTGGGAAGACATGCCAGACTTGCTCCACGGTCTGGATGTCCATCTCCTTCCTAACTGTATAAAGCCATAAAGGAAACACACATGCTTAAAAACATTCATTTATTCAATATACATTAAGAACAATGTAGGTATTGTTGTGGTCCTACCTGCCTGGAACCACACACCTTTGCTTTCACTCTCTAAATATTTTTACTAAATATTACCTAAATATTCACCACCTAAAATGAGTTTAGAGACTCTTTCATGAAATCTCAGATGGAAAAAAGTGAGATGTACATAAGTCAACATCCCATCCCATGCTACGTAAGTCAAAGGCCTTGGCAGATCAGCCTTTGTTTGGATTTGGGTTGGTACAATTCAACTGGGGTTATTGTATCACAAGTTCCTACTTCAGCAGACAGGTCCCTGGGAGCAGCATTAGCTAGTGTTTGCATATAAACTGAGTGCTTACCATGTGTCAAGTATTTAATGTACATTTCTTCAGTTATTCCTCAGAACATTACATAAGAGGAGAGGTATATAAACAGACATTTCCTGTCCTGACCGCGTGGTCCCAAATAACCAACTCAGAGGCTGAATATGAATTATAAATGCTCAGCCAATAGCTAAGGCTTGTTACTAGCTAATGCTTACACTTAAATTAATCCATATTTCTATTTATGCTTTGCCATGTGGCTTATGGCTTGCTACCTCATTTTTTACACATCCTGCTTGCCTGGGGCTGGCTTTCATCTCCTCTGACTCTCATGACTCTGCCCTTCTTTCTCCTATTATTCTCTCTGTGTCAGGCTGTCTCACCCAATTGCTTCTTGCCCTGCTATTGGTCAATCAGTTTTTTTTTTATTAACAATGAGTATAATCCATAGCATTCCCCCCTTTTTGTCTAATTAAAAAGGAAAGTTTTAAACTTAATATAGTAAAACTATATACAACAAAAAGTTATTAAGTAAGAATTACAGTAACAATATCCAATCCATTTGCATTTGGCAAAATTAGACAAAATAATTATCTATCTTATCTTGGTGAGTCTAAAGTTTTATACCAAATGTCCTACTTGTTCTTTGTATAACCAAATTCCACTACCTGCAGGAAGTAACCCAAAGTATACTCAAAGAAGTGAAATTTGGCAAATGGACTTGTTTCATTTTGCAGAGTCTGGAAAATCAAAATATGTACACCATACCATAGATGTATATTCAGGATTTCAGTGGGAAACTGCTTTGAGTTCTGACAAGGCTGATTTTATAATCACACATTTGTTAGAAGTTATGGCCATCATGGGGATACCTGTACAAATTAAGACTGACAATGCTCCAGCATATGTTTCTAGTAAAATGCAACAGTTTTTTTTTATATTACAATATAGAGAATATTACAGGTATACCACACAATCCTACAGGGCAAGCAGTTATATATAGAAAGATCTAACTGAACTCTAAGAGATATGCTGGGGTAATAGAGACCTCCCCCCAGAGATAGATTGCACAATGCTCTATTAACTTTAAATTTTCTAAATGATAATGAGAAAGGAATGACAGCTATGGAGAGACACTGGATAAAAGAAAAAAAACTGAATTAAATCAGCCTGTATACCTTAAAGATGTGTTGATCTCAGAATGGAAACCAGAGTATGTGTTACATTGGGGAAGAGGTTTTACTTTTGTTACCACAGCAGAAGAAATGCTATGGATATCATCAAAATTGATAAAAACTAGATTCAAACAAGAGAGACCTCTTTATTAGAAGAGGTGATAGTTCATCAAACAATGTGACCATTCAATTTAAACTAACTTATAAGACTAACAAATGCTTTTCATTTGTTATAATGAATTGCCAAAAGGGAAGCTCCTAAAAGTTAGGGATGGGGCAGGGTTTTGTGTTTGTCTTTCCAGGAGAATGAAGGCATCCAACTAAGGAATCTGAAGACCACTGGACAAATGAGACATCTGAAGAAAAAGGATGAATCATCCAGAGACAATGTCCCAAGAAAAAGAGTAAATTGGCCTCTTGGTATATCACATTTCCAACAGGATAAATTTTCACAGATCTTCCCAAATGTTTGTTTCTGCTATTCTCTACAGACATATAATGCAAATAGCCTTTTTGCAGTCCCAGTTCAATTAAAAATTAAAGCTAGCTTTGGAGTTGGAACATGACTCTCTCTTTCTCTAACCCAGGCATGCCTGTTAAAGCAAAATCTAAAATCTCTATCTCATGTCAGAAGAAAGAGCCATCTGATATGGGACAGAAGAAAACCAAAAAATTAAAGGACTATTCTACTGGGAATAATCTCAATTCTTTGGTTCTATTTTGATTCTTTAAACTTTTTTAAAGGTATGGATTTTATATCAAAATTTATAAGATTAATATATATATTTTTTAATTTTTGTCATGATATTAATGGTCATATAGAGTACTAACTAATTCTAGAAAAAGGCTTCATCTAGCTTCCTGTACATGATTTCAGGTTTGAGTCTCTTTTAGGTAACTAGGAATTAAGGTTTTGTACTCTGGATGTACATAACAAATTATGATACTTTAACCTCTTCAAAATATGCTACATATGACATTTAAAATATTTAAGTTTTCTGCAGTGAACCATGATCATGCCTAATAGCAACCTTTGAAGTATCCAAAAGGAGGATGGGGCCCCACAATGAAGATTCCACCTGGATTGTGGTAATGTCACTAAACTGACAAACACCACCCAAAGATTGCCTTTGGACTACAAACTGCTCAGGACAATTTCAAGGTGGCTGAGATGGTTCAGCCTCACAGACTACTCTAGCTAGGACTTGAGATAAGTCCTGTACTTTCCCATTACACAGAGACTGGACATCAAATGATACAGCTAGCTCTCCCAGGACTTGACAGTTATCCCAATTCTTTTTCCAAGGTCCCCTAAAGATGCTGCTGCCCACAGACAACAGGAAGTAATTTTAAGAACATGACACCCACATTCCCAAGAAGTGGGGTGGGAATTTTTTGGTTGTTCAGTGAGTTATGGATATTTGTCATTGTTTAGGGGGGTTGGTTACAAGTTGTTATTGGTAATGATCAGGGAAAAAGCTGAACAAAGGGGATTAGATTCAGGGATCTTGTTCAGAAAAGAAAAATGAGGGATATGGGAATGATAGAATAAAAGGGTAGGTTATTGAATCTACTTTTAAACAAAAAAAGCAACTACTCATCTTAAATATTTTATATTGGTATGGATTTTGTATACTGATACAAATTTGAGGTTATTTTTGTTATACTAATAAATGTTTCTACTCTTAAGATATTTTTGTTAGAACCTCCTGTACCTACATTTCTACTCTTGTTTAAGATATTGCACCTATATAGCTTATTTAACAATGTGATGTAAAATTTTAGTCCTTGAAAGTTATTATTACATACTATTTAGGTTAATAAAGAAATGCAGGTCAGCAGTTAGTCACTTATTATAATCAAACTTGTGGTCATGTTAGGTATGTTTTCAAGGTCAAATAGATATATTTTAGATAGACAGGTAGTCTTCAAACACTTCAGAGATTTATAGAATATGGCATTTAAGATGTTTTAATAACATAAGGTTTTTATGACAATGAGACATGTCTGCTCCTGGCAGCACCAAGAAGATGATGGGCATCAAAGAAACTCCATATGGAGTTTACTTTCTTTGTGGCAGAAGTTAGCCATGGGGCAATAAACTGCCCTTGCCTCAACTGCTGACAGTATGTTGTCCAAATTGGACACAAGCAGGACACAAAAGAAAGTGACTGCTGGACTTTGCCAAGACAAGGCACAGCAGTCCTTCAAAAATCCTGCTTCACAGAAAAGTCTGTCAGATATTCTAGAGCTGTAGTCCAAAGATGGATGTCCCAATTTGCAGAGGAACCTTAGGTGACTATCCAGTCAGCCATCTGTTTCTGTCATTTCTTAGTTCTGGAAGTTGTTTGCTATGCACTTCCTGTTTACTGAAGTAATATTATATCCTTCTTAGGTCTCTCATTGAGTTGAAGACTAGCTAGTTATAGTTATAGGTTTCCTTGTTACAAAATTCAGAAAAGAAACTCACAAAACAGGTGTAAAGTGTATAAGGTTGAGAGACATAAGATAGTTTTGGGTTGATAATACAAGTTAGGATAGAAAGTGAATTAGCTACAACACTTTGGACTCACCAAGATAGGATAGATAATGGAGTATTTTCTCTGAGTTTGTCAAATGCAAATGGACTAGACATTGTTAATGTAATTCTTGCCTGTATATATTTGTATATAGTTACCGTACTTATTGTATATAGTTTTACTATGTTAGTTAAAACCTTTGCTTTTTATTTAGACAAAAAGGGGGAAATGTTGTGCAATATTTTGATTGTGTTCTGACAAATAAAGCTTGCTTGGAGTCAGAGGGTGGTGCTAGCCACTAGCTGACCATAGAGGTTTGGAGGACTGTAGACAGAGGAGACAGGAAGTGGTAAGGCATGGCTGAGAGAGGATCTTGCCCTTTTGTACTGAGGAATTGAAGAAGTAGGAAGCAACTGTTGGCTGCTCCCTGTTCTCTGATCTTTCAGGTTCTTACCCCAACATTTGACTCCCAAATTTTTATTGATAAGATTAATTAGAATAACACTTCAGAGAGGCACCTCTTATTCCCTTAACACAAAGAGGCTGGTAAGGTGTAGAGAGTTATGTTCTATCAGACATTGGTGGCACTAGGATTTAAATTTAATTTTGAGGGTTGTGGAAACGGCTCTCTGTTAAGAGCACATACTGCTCTTGCAGAGGACTAAGTTTGGTTCCCAATAACCACATTGGGCTACTCACAACAGCCTATAGCTCCAGCTTCAGGGAATCTGGTGCCATCTTCTGGCCTCCTGAGGCACTGCACTCATGTGCACATACCAACAAATGTACATACACACACATAATTAAACTTGTTTGGTTTGATTTTGTTCTGAGACAGGGCGTCTCTGTGTAGCCCTGGCTGTCCTGGAACTCACTCTATAGACCAGGCTGGCCTTGAACTCAGAGATCTGCCTGCCTCTGCCTCCCGAGTGCTGGAATCAAAGGTGTGAACCACCACAGAGGTGGTGCCTGGTCTACAGAGCTAGTTACAGGATAGCCAGGACTACACAGAGAAACCCTGTCTGGGATAGGGGTGGGGAACACTTAAAATTTAGTCAAATATGAGGAAAAAATTCAGTAGATGAACTGAACACCTTATGCTGATTCTAAAAAGAGATAATAGGAAAAATGTTTCTATCAGCTTTGAAGCATTTCAGTTATTTTTGTATGTGCTGTAGCCAAACAAGTCAAGCCCAGTTTTGCTAAACACAACAAGGGATTATGGAGAGCTTATTTTCACATTCGTCAAACTTTGTTCATTCTTCCTTGAACAGAGAGGACTACCAAAAAAACAAATAACTTATGATGATGCTATTATAAGCAAGGTAAAATTTTTAATGATTTTCAAAAAATAAACTATGCTACTTATTAAATACTCTTTACTAGTTATACATACTTAAGATACACTTTTAGGCTTAAAATCTTATAAAGAAAACATACATACATAATTCAAAAGTAATAGCAAATAACACATTTAAAGCTTCTAGTTTTAGAAGAGGTGAAATGAGAGACGACATTTAAAAAGATGAGACAGTTATTTCATCTTGGTACTAGTCTCCCAATTTACTCATTATTATAATTCTTTGTCTTTGGGTTACTCTTTTTTTAATGCATTTCTTTGCAAACAAAATGTACAACAACAAAAACATCCATGTTTTCTGATTTAAAAAATGCATTCAGGGACTCCTTAGGAGCTCTGAACAATGGACACGCCTTTTCAATGACAATACAAACACATCAACTCAGTGGAGAAAAAACTGCACCTGCTTCTCACATGCTCACACACACAGTGACACACATGAGTTTTATGTTGAAGACTCAGGAGAATATTTCCAGTTTTGACCTGCGAAAAACAAAAACTAGAACAAAGTTCTCTCTTTGGCCCGAGAAATCTTGTCAGCGTTAAATGGCAGCAAAGCTATTGTGAAATGACCTAAGGGTTAACCATGCAGAATTCTTCAACTCACGGCTACAGCAGAAGTTGGCGTCGCTTTTAACAGGCATGTGATGTGTGTGCAGGGGTTAACTTTTTAAAGTGTCTGCAAGGGTCCCATCATAGAAGACTGCATCTAAGGTCCTGATAGAACTCTCTTCTGTCTACACAGGGGTCCCCAAGTTCTTTCTCTTGGTCAACTAAAGCCCAAGTTCCTGTAGTACCCAGATATTTATATTGTAGGCAGAGAGGGGAAGGCATGAAAAAAATAACAAAAAACAAAGGCATAAGAAGAGTTGCTCCTCTCCGTTAAATGGCACTAGTCCACTAACAGTGAATTTCTGAATTTCGTCATGAAATGATATCCATTTTGGCTCATCAAACACATGGCATTTATCCTTTATGAGTAAATGCCAAATAATATTTACTATAGTTCTACATTTGGTCACAGGTGTCCTGTTTGCAGGGCATGCTGTAATGACTTTTAACTTCCTGAGTCACTATTTTATGATCAATCACAGTAACTTTTTGTTTGAGACAGAGCACTGTGTGTGTGTGTGTGTGTGTGTGTGTGTGTGTGTGTGTGTGTGTGTGTGCATTTGGTTTTGTTTTTGAGAAAGGGTCTCACTATGTGGCCCCAGCTGGTCTGGAACTCACTTTGAAGACCAGACTGGCCTTGAACTCACAGAGATTCACCTGCCTCTGTCTCTCGAGTGCTTGTATTAAAAGCATGTGACATGCTTCAGTGTTTTTAAATTTTTAAAAATTGTATGTATGCGTATTTTGTCTGCATGTATGTCTGTGAATCACATGCATGCCTGGTATCCTAAGAAGCCACAGGAGGGTATTCCATTCCCCTGGAACTGAAATGACAAATGGTTGTAGACCACCACGTAGGTGCTAGAAATTAAACCCAGGTCCTCTGAAAAGAAGAAATGTCAGTGCTCTTAACCACAGACCCATCTCTCCAGTCCCCTGTCTATCTCCCCTCGATTTTTTTTTTTTTGTGAAAAAGGCCTGAATGACCTGGTACTCACCATGTAGCCCTGGTTGGCCTCTAACTCACAGCCATCTTCCTAAACACTAGGGTTTCAGATGTGAGCCACCATGCCCAGAGCTAGCGCTGTGAATTGTGTTTTGATTACGCACGGTTTGGTTTGTCGGTTTCCTTTTGCTTTAGGGACACTACAAATGCATTCGTAGAAATATTGGCCAGCCTCTGGGAGTGTGTAAGCGCCCACTTCGGAAGCAGACAGTGAAAGCGCTGAATATGAGATCCAAACGTCACAAAAAACTGAAACTTAGAGCACGGTGCCCCAAACGCTAATGCAACTGTCAAAGCTGAGGAGGTACTCCAACTGATTTTGTAGACAGGACTTGCTCAAGTATTAGAAACTTCATGTAGGTCACAATTTCTCAGATTTACATTGGAAATACACAGCAAGAAATAATGTCAGCCTCTCTACTAACCCTGCCATTGAAACCTCCCATGCGACATGTGCAAAAGCATGGCCACTGCTTGCTATTAGAAAGTGCTCTGACATTCTCCACAGAACTTCATAGCTACTACATCTGTGAAGCAGATTTAAAAAAAAAAAGGAAATGAGAAAAGAGAGAAGGCAGATGTGGTAGTGGTTTGAATGAGAATGGCCCCCATAGGTTCCTATGTTCGCATGCTTAGTCCTCAGGTGACGGAAGGTGTGTCCTTGTTGGAGCAGGTGTGTCCCTGGGAGTGGGCCCACACGAGGGCCAATCTCTCTTTCTGCCTGCTGCTGGAGGATCAGGATGTGAAGCTCTCAGCTACTGCTCCAGCCTCATGCCTGTCTGCTTCCCGACACGATGATAACGGACTAACTCTCTAAATGTAAGCAAGTCCCCAGTGAAAAGGTTTCTGAGAGCTGACTTGGTCAAGGTGTCGTTTCACAGCAATACATCTGTGACTAAAAGACAGAAGGGAAAGGCGGGGGGGAAGGAGGGCAGACCTGGAGGAGACCAGAGAAGCAGACTTAGCTGTTCCCAGTATGGATTCAGTGTGGTCTAGGGAGCTGAAAGGCAGCCTGTAACTTCCTACCACAGACCACATATTTTCGAAGTTCAATGAATAAACACGTGTGGCTCTTGGGAGTTCAAAGGTGTTTGCCAGGAAATACCAAAGGCAGAGAAAACCCTACCTTGTAGTAATATCTTAGTATAGAAAATAATTACCATTTTGAGGTAAAAAGAGTTGGAAGAGAAATTTTTGGTTTTTTTTTTTAAATTCTCCACTAAACACCTAAAATTTTTTAGAACACAGCATGGGAATGCCATGGTGGGGGGAAATCACATTAGGTTTCAAAGTGTCACGTGATCGTACTTGGTCCTTCAAGAATGTTTTAAAATTCTATCACTGACCTTCACTGGCAACAATGTTCTGGATTCAGTTGGCATCAAACTGATGAGCATCGTGAGCAGACCTGGCTTTCAGAAAACTGAAGGCGTTGTTGTATTTTGTATTTGAAGGCTTCTCTGAAGACTGGACGGTCTTTGGATCTGGTGACCAATGGAAAATCTAAATAGTGCTCCTGGGTTCACTGGATGTTCGGAACAGACAGAAAGGAGACCGGAATGGAAGTCAGTGTTTTCTGTGTACATTCTGGCTCCGTCACGGAAACCTAGTTTGTGGGTATTTACTGCACATCCCACGTGCCCACAGCCAGAAAGACCGGAAATAAGAGGTCATGTCTGCTGGTGAGAACACAAAACAACAGTAAAAATGAGAGTAACACATCACTGGGTTGTTTCCCTAACAACAGCAGGCTGTAGGCTAGAGGAGAGAATGGCCGTACCTTAGCATTTCAGCTTTTCCTAAGTGACTAACCTCCACACCTGTGTCACACCCCGACTGCCTCTGCATGCTGAAGTATTCTGCTGTCTCCTCAGGGAGACACAATTCTGCTGGCACAGGGACTGTGATAACCTACAGGACTCGGATACATGGGCTACCACATGACACTAATAAAAATAACATTTATTATTTTCCACGTTCAGATTGCTTTCTATGTAGGGTGAAGAGAACTCAGGATGTTTATTTTCAATTTTTTCTTCCCTGGAAAACAGGATTCATGTTACACAATCCTGTGTTTTATAGAAATGTACTTATATCAAGTATGTTCCTTTCTCTGTGTTAGACTTTCCTCTTTTAGTTTGTGGAGATGATACAGGCCCCTCCTAGTTCCCTGGGCTGCAGGAAGACATCAAAAAGGTCATTTATGCAAAAGTCATTTGAGATAAATAAAGCATTATGCAAAACATCCCTATGCTGATACCAACCTTAAGAGCAACTAGGGATTAATTCGGATCCCTCATGGGGGTAGAATAAGAACTTCCTCTGCTGTAGCTAGGAGATAGGATTGCAAGGCTTCTAAGCTAAGGGCTGGCTAACCACAGTGAAAATGAAAAGAAGCAGAGACCCGAGGCTGCTAGGAATTTGAATTTTCTTGCCGATGAAATTATCTGAAATATTTACTTTGAGCAAATTAAATCTGAAACTGGAGCTGGGTGTGGTGGCACACACCTGTAAATCCAGTACTTACTTGGAAGTGGAGGCAGGCAGGTTGTGAAATCCTGTCTTTAAAAATACAAAACAGAACAAACCAAACAAGGCCTGGGGAGATGACTTAAGAGCATTGGCTGCTCTTGCAGAGGACCCAAGCCCAGTGCCCAGCACCCAGGTCAGGAAGCTCACCACTTGTAATTCAAGCTCAAGGGGATTTAATTCCCTCCTCTTCTGGTGCCCACAGGCACCTGCACTTACATGCCTGTACAGAGGCACAGACACAGACAGAGACACAGACACATAGTTAAAAATACAACGAAAACGAAAACAATGGAAGCCAAACAAACATCTGAAGTGGTCCTTGGCTTTCTACCACTGCCCAGCAGTCCAGTCAAGTGCTCTCGTCCGTGGAGAAACACAAAATACTACTCTTCGCTAAAGAGATCCCCTGGGCTTTCTCAGAAGCTTTTGTTGCATAGACATTTCTCACGATTGCGCCCTCCTCGGAGCTCAGCAATCCTTCTGAGATGCACTCCCAGACGCATGCTTCATCTTGAAATGCTGCCCAATTAGCTGGTCTGAAAGCCTCTTCCAGACACGGCAGTGCTGTAATTATCTCGTCTGGCTTTTCAGTCTCCCCCATGAAATCTTAGCACAGAGGCTGCTCCTTACCGAGGTCACGCGTTTTAAACGGGTTACAATGGAAATACAGAAGTCAGGGAAGTTTTAACGAGTCTGAAAGGAAATACATTAAAACGGTGACAACCTTTTCAAGCGGTTGGTAGGATTATGTCTAATCTAATCTTGATTGCGTTTCGTTGACCTTTATTCTCTCCAGGTTTGTCTCATAACACATATTATCTTTTAATTTTTGAAAGTTATCATTTTATTTTATGTATGAGGGTGTTCTGCCTGCATGTATATCTGTGCACATTATGTGCCTAGAGCTTGTGGGGGATAAAAGAGGGCATTGGATGCCCTGGAACTGGAGTTATAGATGGTTGTGAGCCATTATGTGGGTGCTGGAAATGAAATGCAGGTTCTCTGGAAAAGCAGACAGTGCTCTTAACTGTTGAGCCATCTCTCCAGCCCCTATGGTTATTTTATTTTATTTTTTATTTTTATGTGCATTGGTGTTTTGCCTACAAGTATGCCTGAGTGAGGGTGTCGGATCCCCTGGAACTGGAGTTACAGTTGTGAGCTGCCGTGTGGGTGCTGGGAATTGAACTGGGATCCTCCAGGAGAGCAGCCATGCTCTTAACTGCTGAGCCAACTCTCCAGCCCCCTACTGTTATTTTTAATATTACATTTCTTTATTTGCAGGTGTGAGTGTGGGTACACATGAGGGTCAGAGGATAACTCCCATCTAGGGGATTGAACCCAGGTCATCAGGCATGGTAACAGATGCTTTTACCACTGAGCAAACCTGCCAGCCCCAATACATATTCCTTTTTAATAGGGTGAGAGAGCAAGTTGCAAAGGAAGAATCTCTAGAATACCAGATAATTACGATCCTGCATAACCCAGCAGGGTCTCATATTCGGAGGCTAGGAAAGTTCCCTTTCTTCACCCACTGAGACAGTGTTAAATTCATGATAAGAACTTTAAAAACAAGATAAATACAATTTTAAAAGAAAATAAAGAAAAGCATATTCCCTTTTAGGGATAACTAACTCAGCATAATGTAACCAGGCATTTGAAACTCAACATTTACAGAGCACCATTAAATATTCACACACACACAAATATCCAGGCAGCGTAAGGATCCATGTCCTTAGTCACAGACACCAGGCTGACTCAAAGCAAGGTGGACACTCAGCTCATGGAGTTGGGGCCCACGTGGATGATGACGTGCTTCTCATAAGCCCTTCTCATTGTTTTCTCAATCTGCTTCAGAAACACCTGGGGGATCCGCCCACACAGCGTGTGCACTGTCTCCAAAAACTTCAGCTGGAGAGGGTAGTACATGGATTGAAAAAGATTGTCTTGAAAGGGAAACTGAAAGATGATAAGAAAGAAAGAAAGAAAAAGCTTGTTATTCAAGTGCTGGTTCAAACACAAATCACTCTTACTGAAACCCATGACAGTGTAAAGTTACTGAGTTCTGACTCAGTGGTACAGTCCCACGGAATCATTTAACTCTCTGGCCCCTCATTCTGTTTTCTCTCTCTTTCTTTGAAGTAGGGCCTCCTATAGCTGAGAATGAGCTTGAACTTGGAATCCTTCTGCCTCCATCTCTGGTGTATTAGGATTATAGCATATACCACAATGCCCAGTTTTCTTGCACTTAGAAAGCAAGCCAAAAAAGATGATTTGCTTGTTTCCTAAGGCTCTTCAAGTCTGAAAACAATGTCTATTTCTAAGGGGCAGACAACACATATATGTATATGTATATGTATATGTATATGTATATGTATATGTATATGTATATGTATATATCACCGAGTAGAATACAAGACTAAAGCCGATAGTCATTTTGAAATTTACTACAGTAAGACACTGAATTTATTTGTTTTCAAAAGATGTATTTATTTTATTTTATGTGTATGCATATATGTATTGTACTATGTGCATGCATAATACCCACAGAGGTCGGAAGAGGGTACTGGATCCCCTGGAACTAGAATTATGCCACTATGTGGGTGCTGGGATTTGAACCTGGGTCCTCTGCAAGAGCAGCAAGTGCTGTTAACCTATGAGCCATCTCTCAGCTCTTATTTATTTTTTTTAAATATTTTTGCCATTCAAGAAACGTAATGGCATGTCTATGGTGGCTACAGGAGGCCAACAGTTCGGCGACTACAAGTTAAATACATTGGCAATGAACTTTCTTTCGATATTGTAGGCACCAGGCTGGGAATGTGGCTCACTGTTAGAGCACTTGCTTAGCACTCTAAAGTCCTGAGTTTGAACCAGAGCATAGAGGTGGGCATGGAAGGTTAGGGGGAAAGGAATTAAGAGGCCAAATGTCGGTGATAATTTTGAGTTTTTTAAGTTCATTCAGTATTGGACATTTGCAGATTTGTCTTGTTTAATGTCTCTTATTTTCCCATGGGAAATATGAATGAGCAGTATTTTCCAAAATAAACCTTTCGAGCTACTTAGAAACTAGTGTGTGCCAAGCTTTATCACCATCCTGTTGAAAGAGAAAGGTAGATGAAGTCAGACTTGAACTCCTGGCCAGTGAGGAGAAAAGAGGAAGGAACAGAAATGTTAAAGGGCAGGACACTCTAGCCCCAGAGCAGAGTGGATGGCTATCTGCTTCCCTAGAACACACCTCCCAGTCTTTCAAGGTCATCAGAGACATGGCCTCAGCATGTGGATCAGCAAGGTGACGAGGTAACTTGAGAATGAGCCAGCTCAGACACCACTGCTTTCTCTCACAGCCCTCAGCCAGTCAACCAGAAGTCCCACGGATTCTATCACCACAGCCCCTTCTCCCTACCCTTCCACTTCCACACGAACTCTCACTAGCTCACCTCTCACCTGTATGGCTGCTCTCAGGCTCACAGACAGCCCGGGTTGCCTCCCTCTTGCAAGTCCGCAATTAGTTGACAGAAGCCACCATAAATCACTGCTATCACTTTCCTGCCCAGACTTCCCACTGCGGTCCAACTCTTGCTTCAGAAGCTCCAGGTGACCCGGAGCCCTGCTGCATCTTTGTCCCTTCCGTTATCTCTCCATGACGGTTGAGGTGACTATCTTGACATGCTCTGGGCACACCGACTTCATTCCCATCTTGGAGAGTTTCCTGATTATGTCTTCTGGTTGGCAGGATCTTCCCCATGAATGCCTCCCTCTGACTGAGTTTCAGGCTGGCATGGGCCTTCCCTAGAAAGCCGGCTGCTGAAACAGCCCTCTGTAGCCAGTTCTCTACACCTACCTACCACCCTGTTCCTCTGAGAATGCCTTTCACTTCTGACAGGGTCTTTCTTTCTTTCTTCGTTATGGGAAACTTTTATATCATCTGGCTTTCTCTGCTAGAACAGAGGTTCTTGACCACAGGGCTTGGTCTATATTGCTAGCTTCCAAATTCTGGGCAACTGGAATTATTCCTATATAAGCTAGGCTTTATAGATGACTGTTGAAAGAATTACTGAAGAATATCTGCCTGATGACGTTTTGGAGGGTCACGATGGGATCTGTTATACCCAGTCCATCACACAAACACATAGACACAGGGTTAGGCTGTGTGCATATGGGAAAGGCAGCAAGCTAGGGAAAGACACAGATGTGAAATGTCTGCCATTAAAACGTTTACATGCTGAATACAACTGCCAGGTGTGCGGCTAAAGTTTAAAGGCCTTCATTTTGTTAATCCTCACAAGTGTCTCATCAGGACGCTTTCTTTCTCTTTCTCTCTCTCTCTCTCTCTCTCTCTCTCTCTCTCTCTCTCTCTCTCTCTCTCTCTCTCTCCCTCTCTCTCCCTCTCTCTCTCTCTCTCTCTTTCTTTCTTCTTTCAGGCCTGAGGACCGAACCCAGGGCCTTGCGCTTGCTAGTCAAGCGCTCTACCACTGAGCTAAATCCCAACCCCCGCTTTATTTATTTAAAAGTATTTATGAATACATTTTAAGTGTTTTTTTTTTTTTTGTGTGTGTGTGTTTGTGTGTGTGTGTGTGTGTGTGTGTGTGTGTGTGTGTGTGTGCATGCCCACAGAGGCCAGAAGAGATTGTTGGACCCCCTGGAGCTGGAGTCACAGGTGGTCATGAGCCATCTGGCATGGAAGCTAGGAACAGAACTTGAGTCTTGTGAAAGAGCAAACACTCTTAACCGCTGAGCCATTTCTCCAGCCCTCAGAAGGTAAGATTATTATCTTCATTTTATGATGAGGAACTCAACTGAGGCTCAGTAAAGTAAGAGCAGTTAATGACTTAAACAGACCGGGATAGAAATGGGGTGTGAGCCCAGGTCTGCCCAGGCGGAAAGTCAGCTCCCATCCTTTACCGTATGATGAGACCACCACAGCCCAGTAGGAAAAGATGGGCATAGGGGAATCCAGCTTTACAATGGAGTGTCTTACTCCCAGGCTGATCTGGAGTTAGTGACTGTCCTGATGGAAATGCCTGAATGAAAACCGTCTTTGGAGGTTAAACTGCAGAACTCCACGGAGTGATTGTGCAGAACTGTTTAAGAAGCAAAGTCATTTGGCTGCCTTTCTGATCCCCGGTGAGAACACACCAGATGACTCATAACTCAGTCACAATTGCTCAATTCCAAAGCAGGGCCAGACAACACGAGAAAGCGGAGCGGGCTCCAGGGAGCCCACACGGCTGCATGCTTTCTTGACTTCTAGCCGTGCTGCGGATGGGTTTCCCCTTGAGGCAGTGTTTGAGTAACCAAGTGTGAGAATGTCACCGAGTGCACAACAGATTGTGTAATTTAATCACTTGCCCTTTGAAAACTAAACAGCAGGAAACAGGAGAAGAGGTGCTCATTCAGATGCATGTTAAGTGAGCCCCTATGGGGAGGGCAACGCTGGGATTTCCAAACTGGAATTTTTTTTAGCAAAATGCTCATCTTCATACACACAGAGATGTTTTACAGCTGGGGGATGGCTCAGTGGGTCACAAGGATGCATCACAAGCAGGGAGATGGCTCAGTGGGCAAAGTGTCTGCCACAAAGTGTGATGTCCTATATCTGGATCCCCAGAACCCACGAAAAGCCTGACATGGTAGTGTGTGTCTGTAATTCCTGTGCTGTTATGGTGGGATGGGAGATAGAGATGGCGGAATCCCCAGAATCAGGACCAGCACAGTAAAGCACAAAGAGAGCCTGCCTGCAGAGGGCAGAAGGTGAAGAACAACCTCCGAAGTTATTCTCCAACCTCCACACATAGCTGTGGCATGTGCATGTCTGCACGCCAGCACTAGGTTCCCAGATTACCAAGAAGAAATAAAAATAATACTTAAGGAAGTCCATGTCAGGGGATTGGCAAACAGTTCTTGTCAGGGGAGGGGGAGATGGCAAATACTTTCGGCATTGTGGCCCCACAGTCATGACTAATAACCTCTGCCGTTGGGGTGCCAACGCAGCCAGTGACAGCACATGAATGAACAGGGCACTGTGTTCTCCCACGGCTTGATTTATGAATGCTGAAACACAAATCTCCTATGGATTCTTCATGTTGGAAATGTTGGCTGGTCCCTGCTCTGTGTCTTGGAGGGACAGCTTAAGGAGGGCACTCTTTGCAAGTGCCTGCTCTTGGCTTCCTACTCACAATCTCAAGGTAAAAGACAATGGGCAACACAGAACTTCCCAAGCTCACAGAATCCTGAGCCGCTCCTTAGCACGCGTTCATCCCTCTCTTGAGGGAAGAAAGAGTGGGCTCAAACTATGTGAGGCTCCACTCACTCCATGCCAACATTGTACAAATTGTCATCCTTTATCCATGGGGGATACATTCCTACATACTTGGTGGATGCCTGCGACCATGATGAGTACTGAACCCTACAGACTGGATACCCTGTGGCTACTGCATTACTAGTAGGTGGGTAATACATGCAGTGTGGATATAGGCACAAAGAGATGATTCACATTCCTGCACGGCAGAGCAGGATGGCATCAAATATCATCATGTTCCTGGGAACAGCCCCCAATTCCCAACTTACGAGGCATGTAATTCTGGAATTTTCCGTGTCATATTTTTGGATCATGGTCAGATGTGGTGACTGAAACCATGCAAAGTAAAACCATGGGGCAGGGGCTCTATCTACCATGTGATCTTTGAGACCAACCACAGACAGTTATAGGGCTTTCCTGGAAGGCCTTGTGGGAGGGGCTGCTCTTTCAGGGTCCACTTCCCAGAAGGAGTCTTTAAGGGCAAGGACTCAGGCCTTCTGCACTGGGCAGCCATCCTCACATGCACATCTGCATGCCTAGCCTGGATGCTCACTTCTGAAGGCCTCCCTGCTGGGTACCTTGGCTGAGGCACTTTCCTCGACTTGGCTTCAGAACCTTCTGTTCCTAACCTCCCCTAGCTCTCCATTCCTGGCTCACGGTCCATAAGGTGCAGGAGTGTTTTCCTGAGGTCCTCTTGGCTATGAGAAGACTCCTACCATCTAGGCTATAGCCACACACCCCTCACATATCCCCTTTGGTGGTAAAAATGGCAGGCACCTCTTTTTGCTGGTACTGCTAAGTGAATAAAGACTTGGTGGACTGGGGATAAGACTCAGTGGGCAAAGTGCTTGCTATACAAGCTTAAAGACGTGAGTTTGATTGCCAGCACCCACGTAAAAGCTGTGTGTGTTGGTGTACACCTGTGATCTCAGGACTGGGGGCGTGCAGACAGAAGATCTCTGGGGTTACTAGGCAAACCAGTGAGCTCTAGGTTATGTCTCAAAATATGAAGTAGAAGGGCTGGAGAAACAGCTCAGTAGTTAAGGGCACTGGGAACATGGGCTCAATTCCCAGCACCCACAGGGTTTCTCACCACCTTCTGTAACTCCAGTTCCAGGAGATCCAAAACCCTCTTCTGTCCTCCCAGGGTACCAGTCCTACATGGGGTGCATCTCTGCAGTCAAAACACCATACACATAAAATAAAAATAATTGAAAAAATAAGGTGGGAAGTAATCGAGAAAACATCCAGTGTCAACCTCTGGTTTCCATACGCACACTCACCCACACATACATGTGCAACAGACACAGATGTACACACACATACACAAAGAAAAAAAATAAGGAGCAATTGCTGCTTTCAGTGTGCCAACTTCTAATTGTCCAGCGTGAGACATGATTGCTTAAGAGCTTGGAGCTGGTAACCAGGCAACATGCTTAGCTTGAACTAAATAAAGCAATCTCGTTTCTGTGACTTTCTCTTTATCCTGAACTCTTACTCCATAGGGCGGCAAAAGGCACAGGAGTTCTGAGAGTATTTTAGCCTTCAAAGTCCCCACGCACCACAGCACTTGAAGCACTGCATGCTGGGAAGCATGTGTCTGCTTTGAAGAGCACACTTACATCCCGGATTGCTTCGTAAAGGGCTCGGAAAGTGGGCTGCTTATCGTCATGGTAGACGCCGCGGTTGCCGTGCAGAACAGACACACCTTCCCGCTCCGCCTCTTTGCAGTTGCTTCCATACATGCAGTGATCGGGGCGGTAGTTCCACTGGCAGGGGAACACGTAGAGACACTCTAGTGGCAGAGGAAGAGACACAGCTACAGTCAGTGCCAGCTGTCACCTGTATGTCCGGTGCTTAAAAACTTAACGTTTATAAACCACACACTGTGCACAATTTCAATGTTTAGGAGTGTGGTTATGAGTCCCAGGCCAAATATACCACACATGCTGAAATGCTGAGATCAATAATGGGAAAGGAGGGGCACCCATTAATGATGATATGGGAAGGCAGAACAATATCTAAAATAAGGAGTTAAACATCAATAGCCTAGTGTCCCAGTTTGCTCCTCTGTTGCTGTGATAAACACCAGGACCAAAATCAACTTGGAGAGGAAAGGGTTTACTTCATATCAACTTCCCGGTAACAGTTTGTCACTGAGGGAAGTCAGAGTAGGAGCTCAAGGCAAGAGCCTGGAGGCAGGCACAGAAGCCATGGAGGAGTGCTGCTTACTGGCTTGCTCCCAGTGACTTGCCTAGTTTTCTTTCCTCTATAACGCTGGACCACTTGCGTTATATAGGTGGCATCACCCACAGTGGGCAGGGCCTTCCCACATCAATCATTAATCTACCTGGAATTAACTGTCAAAACACATGAGCCTAGAGGGAGCATTTTATGTTCAAGCCACAACACCGATGAACACCAGCACACAGTACACCTGTGATCAGTGTTTACGACAACCGTTCTTAGACATGCAGGATCATTCTTTACCATTCTGTGGGGCACAGATCTCTTTGAGAATCTAATGGAAAACTACAACTGGGGGGAGAGCACAGACCTAAAAGAACATTTGTTTATAAGTTCAGGGTCTTGGTCTCCTAAACACCAGCTACGTACCCCAGCTGCCAAACCTCAAATACAAAATGGAACTCAGGAAGAAATACAATTTACATCTCGAGAGAATTTCTTGGGGTGAGAAACGCCAAATATTGTACATGTAATCAGAGGAAGGATCTGTCCCCCGTGTCATTGAAGGACAGTGGTGTCCTGTTTTGACAATTCCATTTAAGTGCAGGCTTTAGTCAGGATGCAATTTGGACAGATACAGAAGCTTGGAAGAACACTCCAGGAAGAAAATGGTTTGATCATGCTAATTTTTTAGAAATCAGAATGTGTTTTAGAAGAAGATAAGTCACCTTGGTTTTGTTGGAGGGAAGATTTCTTCAATAGGGAAGGGCGGTAAAGGAGGAGCGGTCATAAATACACTGGTCTGAAATAGTCAAGACAGAACTCTGTGCTGGGTCGCAAAGAACCAAGTCACTCGTAAAATTGGAGGCGAGACTGAATTGGAGCCAGAAGTGGGGCAGTTCCCAGGTTCTGGGGTGGGGACTCATTGAAGTCAGCTTGCAGTCCCTGCTGCCTGGGTGAACCAGCCATGGCTTCTGCTCTTGGGTTTGCGGATTTAGAAACTAGGGAATGGGTGGTTTGACTGGTTTAGCCAGGAATCACTGGAGGGCAGGGCTCTTTCTTAGACACAGGAGAACAGAGGCACAGTGGGGCACCAAAAGAAAGGGCAATCAACATAGGAAGGTCAAAAGATCAGATCTGGTCTGGGGGATAGCTCAGCTGGCAAAGTGCTTGCCGTAGGAGTCTGAGGGCCTGATTTGATCCCCAGAACTCATGTAAAAATAGCCAGGCCAGGTAGCATCTTTTCATTTTGAAGCAGAGAAAGCAGATCCTTGCAGTTCACTGGCCAGCCAGCCTAGCTTATAAGGCAAGTTCCAGGCCAATGTGATCCTGTCCCCCAAACCAAGATGTATAGTGCCTATGTACACGCCCCCACACCCATACGCAGCCTCCAAATACTTAGATGTGTCTTTTTATTTACAGGTTAACTTTGTAAATTTGAACTGTCCATCTTATGAACAGGAGGAGGAGGAGAAGGAGGAGGAAGAGAAGGGCTAGGCAAGCCTCACTGAGAGGGCTGAAGACAGGCTACACAATGGACCTTGTCCAAAACAAATATAAAAATTAAAAAAAATGAAAATGCAAGATACCCTTTCTTGAAGCCCTTGGTCTTTGCTATTTTTCTCTCTCAAAGTTATATGAAAAAGGTCATTAACTGGTTCTCCATGGGTGATATCCCTTAGTGATAGATACCGTCAAGAGTCCACACAGTGCCAGGGCTCCCTTGCAGCTCTGTTGATTCATATCCAGACGGTGCTGAAGATTACAGAGTGGTTTGTGCCTGATCATTTTAACTTCACAGAAAGCTGAGCTTGCCACTCGATTACTACCATCTATCCACAGAATGGAGACTTTCGCACCAGGACAACTGTGTTTGGTTGTTGTGGTGGTGCACACCTGTATGTAATTCCAGCACTCAGGAGGTGGAGACAGGACTGTGAACTGACAGCCAGTCTATGTAGGGAAATGCGTATTTTCTCTCTGTGTGTGAGCAAGTGTGTGTGTGTGTACACATGCTGAATGAATGGATGAGTGAATGAATGGATGAGTGAAGGATGAGTGAATGATGAATGGATAAGTGAATGAATGAATGGGTGAATGAATGGATGGGTGAATGAATGGATGAGTGAACTTTATGCCCTCCTATCCTACAAGTATCTCTGTCATGTCTCTTGTTGTATGCTTCTTTCTGTCCCTTGCTCTGATTTTGTTTCTCTTTCATTTACGTCACTCTGTTTTCTCGATTCTACCCACTCAACCAACTCACACTTCTGGGGCCTTGTATGGAAACAACAAAACCAAAAGCATAAACTATGCCTTTCTCACATGGACCTCACAATATTCATTCTTGTCTCTTGTGCTTTACATAAATCAGGACTCATGAGCTTCCCGGTTCACCAGTGTCCAGAACAGTCCCTAATGTGAAGTAATGGAGCCAATCACCCTCACAGCACAGCACTCAGTACTTCCTGAGGCTCGGTGCTTTGTTGTGGTCTTCATTCAATGTAGCCAAATAGCCAAGGGGTCCAAGCTCTGGGGGTCCTGGGAAGGATGAGAGTAAGGACCTAAAAGAAGGCCATTAAAGAGTGTGTGTGACCATGGGCCCTGCTAACTGTGTCCTCTGGAGAGCCTCCTGACTTCCTAGTATCACACACTCAACGCCTGGCCTGGCTATGGACATTCCATGAGCAGGCTGGCTCTTTCCTCCCCCTTAGAGAACTATATACTTCTGCTCTGGTGGGATGCTCTGCCTGCTCTGGTGGGATGCTCTGCCTTGTCATCCGCCCCCAACCCGCTTCCCTTTCTTTGCAGTACTTTCTGGAAAATCACCCAAAGTGGCAGCAGACCTATGTGGTGAGTGTAGAAAACTTCATTCCTCTGACCTCTTGCCAACAAGATCAAGGTTGGTCTCCACAGCTGGGCTAGTTCTCTCCCACTTCAATTAGGAACTATTAGAAAGCCATCCTTAGCCAGGGGTGGGGGGAGTGGCGGGGGTGGTGGGGGACGTGGGGGTGGTGGGGGTGATGGGAGGTGGTGGCGCACGCCTTTAATCCCAGCACTTGGGGGGCGGAGGCAGGCAGATATCTGTGGGTTCGAGGCTAGCCTGGTCTACAGAGCGAGTTCCAGGATAGCCAGGGCTACACAGGAAACCCTGTCCCTAAACACACACACACACACACACACACACACACACACACACACACACACACATACACAAAACAAAACAAAACCAAATAAACAAAAAAAAAAACAAAAAGGAAAAGAAATGTACCCTTATTTACTGTGGTCTCTTATGACTGAATTGCCTGACAATCAGGCTGAGCTGGGCAAACAGAGAATTCTGTCAGAGAAACTGGAATCTCCTAAGTAAGCAGAAAAGATGCCAGAGCCTAGGAGGACTCTGAAGACTGAAGAAATCAGTGCAGTCCTTAGCATCTAAAGACACCCCTGAGAAAGCCTGGCATCACCTGACCCACGTGGCCAGCTCTGCCCTTTGAAGCTGCTCTGAGGGGAATTCTGAAGCCTGAGATGGGAGCTCGTCCATCCCAAACACATCCCTTAGGGTTTGGTCAGGTTTGCTTTTTCTACTAAACTCTGCCCACAACTCAAACTTACCTGTCAAGATATGAGCTCAGGGCTGAGGGGAAGGCTCAGCTGGTAGAGTGCTTGTCTTGAAAGCATGAAGACCTGAGTTCGATTCCCAGCACCCACATAAAAGCCAGCATACACCTGTAATTGTAGTGCTGGGGAAACAGAGACGGGGGAGGATTCTTCAAGTTTGACAGCCAGCCAGTCTAGCCAAAATGGCAAGCTACAGGTTCAATAAAAGATCCTGTCTCCAAAAAGTTAGATGGAGTGTGGTTGAGGAAGACACCCAAAATCAACCTCTGGCTTCCACACACATGCACCCACACACACACGTATCCATATACATGAATATGCGCGCGCGCGCGCGTGTGCACACACACTGCACGCACGCACGCACGCACGCACGCACGCACGCACGCTGTGAGTTCAGCCTTTCATCCTAGAAGAAGCCACCTTTTTTCACATCCCAAGAAATGTCCTGTGGGATCAACTACCTGCACAGTCCCCAGGGGCTTCACTCACCTCCACGTGAGTCGGTCTATAACCTAGCCATGCAATTCCACACCCACACTCATTTTACGATCTAATTATGGCAGAAGTTTACAACAGTTTTTAGCTGATGACTTTTAAACACAGTTCAGTAAGCAGGTTACTGGCTTCAGGAAACTCTCCTCACAGTAACACTGCAGCCCTGTGCTGCCTGTTTTATGTGCGTGGCTTCATCCATAGCAACCCAATAAGCCACAACAATAAACGTATTTATCTCCTAGGTTGCTGCCAATATCACCAACCCCTTCTTTACAGTGCTAAAGGTAACACATCTTTTAAAATATATCATTGAATCTAGGTTGTAGAAAGCCCACACGCAAAATAAATGAATGAAAATTGTATAAGCAGCGGCTATCCTTAGAGGTTCATTAGACAGAGCTAATGTTTAATACAGTGCCAGGGTGAAGTGTAAAATGGGATCAAGCAGCCACACAATGAACAGCAAGTGAGTTCACCTTACACTGACCTGAAACCTGAGCTCCTGGTTGCTTATGAGGCTCAGGTCAGAACCAGGATGTAGGACAACCTCATAAGTATGTCACGGTACCTTTGGCTCAGTGGGCCTCAGAAGGAGGCAGCCGGGTCATCACACCCAGCTGGGTGCAGCCCCAACTAAAGGCGAGGCACCAGAGTTAAAGCGCAAAGCTGTTTCCATTATTGTTTATTCACTGATCCTGTCTTAGTGAGGTAGAGGCAGGAGGATCTCTGTGAGTTCAAGTTCCAGGACAGGCAACCGTACACAGAGAAATCCTGTCTCAAATAAAAAAAAAAAAAGCAACTCAGGGCAGAAAGGGTTCACTTCATCTTACACTTCCCACATCCATCATTAATCAAGAAAACGCTCCACAGAGTTGCCTACAGGCCAATCTCAGGGAGTCAGTTCCTCCACTGAAGTTCCAAAAGGAAAACCCCGAGGATTCTAGTTTGTGTCAAGTTAACAAAAACAAACAAACAAACCCAACCAGGACACCCTCCCCCACTCGCCCCCCTCTGCCAAGCCACCAAGCTAACAACATCAACGTACAAAACTTTCTCTTGCTCTAGATAACAAAACCAAACCCTGGGGGAAATCCGAGATCTTATTCTAGGCCCTCTGAACTCTGGACAGGTGACTTAATTTTAAAGTTCAAGAACCACCTCCCTTCAACTAGTACTTGTTACACTGTGAGGGTCTTGTGCTCATCTGAAAATCTCGTCATCTGATTTTGTGTCTTGTGTCATTTTGCACTGCGCTTCTCAGATAAGAATGGTGTGGTGAGACTGAAAAGACACTCTCTAAACCCGGAGTGTAGCGTTGGAGGGGTCAACATTCGGCCTTTTGTGTGAGCGGCTGAGGAGCTGCCTCTGCAGATACCCAGGGGGCAGACAGAGGAACACAGCCTCTCTGTATACCAAGTAGGTCCATCAATAGCAGCCCGGGCCTGGAATGTTCCCTATGAAGTGAGGTGGGCGGGCTCCCTACACAGTGGCATTCTCAACAGAGCACTTACCTGGGTTGAAATAGAAAATAATATTTAGTAAGTCCTGGTCTCCCCACGTGATGGCATTCTTATACTTCTGGTACAGCGGGAGCAGCATGTCCTCCCAAGCCAGGCCTGCTGGAATCAGGCTGTTCTGGAAGAGAGAAAACCGTAGAGCAGCTACGGCAAAGCAGGTGTGCCTTGTCCAATACAAGAGGGACCGCTTTCCTTTCCTCCTAGACACAGAGCAAATGCAGGCCTGGTCCCGCTACCCTGGGCACAGAACCAAGCAAAGCAAGGCTGTGGGTACAGGTCTGGGGGGTGTACCTATGCGTGCAGAGTGGACCAGCAAGTGAAGAGGACCCTTTGGGTTTCTTTTCCTTTTTTTAAAAATTATTTGTTTATTATTTAAGTGTGTGTGTGTGTGTGTGTGTGTGTGTTATGTGTGGCAAACATGTGCCATGCGGTACTTGTAGAGGTCAGGGGACAACTTTGTGTAGTTGGTTTTCTCTTTCTACCTTTATACAGGCTCTGGAGACGGAACTCAGGGCATCAGGCTTGTACCGCCAGGCGGAGTCCCCTTTACCCGCTGAGCCATTTCATCAGCCTTCTCTTTTTGTTTCTGAGGTGTGTGAGATGTGTAAGAATGCTCGTTTGTGTGTGTGGATGCAAGCACACGTGTGTCATAGCACACGTATGGGGATGAGATGACAGCCTTCTGGGATCTGGCCCTGCCTTTTCCACCTTGTTTGAGACAGGCCCTCTTTGCTGCTTATGCTGGCCCACAACTTCCAGCATGGCTCCCGTCTGGACCTTCAGTGTGCTGGGCTGCAGGCAATGGTGCTAGTGTGTCAGCTTTTGCACATGCACCAGGCATCAGGTGTGCACCACACTCATTTTCACCCACTGAGCCCTCTCTCTGGTTCACGCCTATGATTTCTAATCAAAAAGCCGTGCTGAAATGATCCCTCCTTCTTAGCTTTGTTCCCTTTTTAAAAATTATCTTAGAAGCATTTCCTGTCTGTGAAGAAACAAAACACAGATCACAGAGTCAAGGCATTTCAGGGAAAAACTGCTTTCTTTCCTTGCCTTTTCCCTTCACGTAATTAATTAATTTGGGGGCAAGGTCTTGCACTATATCCCAGGTTGGCCTTCAACTTGGGGCCCCTGCATTCACCTTCCAAATGCTGTGATTAAACGTGTGTCCCACCATACCTGGCTCCTGTCCTTGTTTCCAAATAATTATTTACTTTTAAACTAAAAGTAACACACCCACAGACTAAGTATTCAACCAGTATTCATTCAGATAAAAAATTAAAAATATAAATATGTGTAAATATTTCTTCTGCTGCTCTCTTGAGATTCTGTTCCCACTTTTCACAGAAGCATCTACAATGAACAGAACCTCACGTGTTGTTTCTCAGAGAACATCCACTTGTTTCATGAGATGGGAATCTCTCTCCGTGGCTTAGGATTTGCCACATAGCTGGCCAGGGATCCCCAGAAATCTGCCTGCCTCTGCCACCCACAGTACTGGGATGATAAGCCACATCTGGCTTTATTATTTATTTATTACATGGGTTCTGTGGACTGAACACAGGTCCTCAGGCTTGCAAGGCAAGCATTTTACCAACCGAGCTATCTTTCAGCCTCCTCTTCTTCTTAACATGAGGTGGATGGATGGGAACTGTCATCTAAAGATGTTCATTTTGGTTCCTTTTATTTTTTTATTAGTAGAAAGGAGACCCTGATTAGCCATGCATGGATATCTGTGTACTCACAGAAATACACCTTTAGAGCCATTCCAAGAGATTGGGCGTGGGCTTTGAAGCCTTGGATACGTTTGGACACTATATAATTCAGAAACATCACATAGTATTTCTGAATTGAGACTATGACGCTTCACACACTCCACAGCCACTTGGGCTTTTCCTGAGCAAAATTCCACATTTCAGATATTTTCCTCCCCACCCACAGGCCAAATCAGCACAGCCACACCCCCAGCACATCCCTACTGGAAAGACTAACTCCCGGTCTTTGCTTATTTGGTTCATTTTTCAAGACAGGGTTGCAGTGTGTAGCCTTGGTTGTCCTGGAACTCACTCTGCAGACCAGGCTGGCTTTGAACTCAAGAGATCCGCCTGCCTCTGCCTCCCGAACGCTGGGATTAAAGGTGTGCGCCACCACAGCCCAGCTTCTAACTCCCGGTCTTTACAGGAGATTTTCAAGCTCTTCCTTACCTTGAACTGGGTACTTCTTATGCGAGTCAAGTTCATGAGCATGACCCCTGAATTAACCCCCGTAGAGCCGTAGAAAGGGTGCCGGGCAAAGCGGCTGTACCAGCCGATCTTGGGGATTTCGTGCTCTGGGGCCATGGCGGCAAGCTGGGTGGAGTTAAACTGCCTCAGAAGCTTCCAGATATCATCCACGGGCCTCAGAAAGAGGACGTCGGTGTCCACGTAGAGGAGCGAGTCCACATCCTTTAGGATCACCTTTGTTTACAAGGGGCAGGGGAAGAAGGGAACAAAACAAAACGGTCAGAAACAACGGAAATGCCTCCACAGGAACAAAACACCCCCGACACATGCCGACCAGTGGTGCATTCTACACTAGGTACCACTATCAGCTCCAGTCCTCTCTTCTCCTTTCACCTGATGGAAGTGTCAGCCAAGGGGTGAAGACTTAACCGCAGACAGACCTGGCTCTAGACTGGCCCAACCCTGGTCTTGTTTATATGGGCTAGACTTTCAAAGAGATCAAACTGGAACCGTCAACTGAACACTGCAGCTCTTTTTTGTTTATTCTTTCCTCCCACAAGAAACCCACTTGTCTTGCCCTCTTAGTTCTTTGTTGGTACAGTCAGGTATTGACAGTTTGTTGTGGACAATCTCCAGGCCTTCCCCAAGCTCTGGGGTGAGGGCTCTGTCCTAGGAGATGGCTCCATATCTAAGATGGTATTTTCATCCGATGTTTGGACTTGGGAATAGAAAAAGCATGTCATTGGCTGGCAGATCAGGGCCTGGCAAACTTCTCCTGTAGAGGGCCAGATAGCACATACTCCAGGCTCCTTTGTAGTCACTTGGCCCTGCGTCTATATCCTCTGAGCAACACTGACAACTTAGAAATGAACAAGGGTGGTTGTGATCCAAACATCATGCAGAATTTTGTATCATTGTTGGAGGTCATAGAATATTTCTTGCTTTGAATTCTAAAAAAACATGAGCTTCTATTTCCCACCAGGCTTGCTACACATCTTTCCAGCTAGCCTTCCCAGGTGAAGTAGTGTTCCCTGCACCCCCTACCCCAGCCTCCAGGGCTAGGCCCTGGAGTGTGAGACTTTAAAGCCTGAGTTAGCAATAATGCCATTTGCCTCATTTTGTCTTTGTTCTCGAAACTTAGGAACAATTTGGCAAGGAAAGATTTCACTCTTTCTGAGTCCTCACTGTAACTGCACATGTTATGAACTAAATGTGTGTGAGTCTGTCCAAATCCACACAGTGAAGCCCTGACGCCAAGAAGGACAGCATTTGGAGATACGGCTTTGGGAGACCACTGGGTTTAACTGATGTCATGAGGATGCCATTGTTAATGGCACCAGTGCCCTTTTGACAGCAGGGCCCAGACACTGCCCTCTTCTCACTGCCCCATTAGGACATGGTGAGAAGGTAGCTGTGACACATGCCAGGGAGAGGACCTTGGCCCGAACCCTGCCCGGCTGGCATCCACGTCTTGCACTTTTCCAATCAGAACTGTGGGAACACATGTTTCTGAGGCATCCAGTCAGCTGTGTCTTCTTGTGGGGAGCTGAGCAGACTAAGACAGTACTCATTTGGATCCCCAGAACTTAACAGTGTGAGCACAGGTACCATACAATCCAGCTTCACCGGGACTTCAGCCTGGTGTTATCGCCACACCAACCATGTTAGCCTCAGGCCCTTTCTGTCCTCATCCATTAGAGGAACAGCTTTTTAAATCAGTATATGGAATTAAAAATAACAGTTATCTACCACTAAAATAACTGTCCTGCTGACCATCTGAACAACTCAAAGATCCTGATTTCATTCAGAATTATGATGAATTCTGCAACTGAGCTCCTAAACTATTTTTTAACACCTACCACACAGCTGGGAATGGTGGTAAACACCTTTAATCCCAGTACTCTGGAGGCAGAAGCAGGAGCTGAATGGGAGGCCAGCCTGGTCTACAGAGCTAGTTCCAGGACAGCCAGGGCTACACAGAGAAACCATGTCTCAAAACAAACAAACAAACTACCACACATCATCCTTATTTTTTCTATTTCCTATAGAAAGGTAAAACCTGTCACAGGTTGACATTAGTCTTAAGACATCATTCAGAAATTTCCAATCCTAGTGTACTGTGGAGAAGGGGTAAACATGTTATGATACATATTGTACATTATATATAATTAGGACCATATGTTGATGAATTTCTAAATGATCTTATTAAATAAAAAACACGGAGCCAGATATAAGGGTGAAAGCCTGAGAGAGATCACAGGAATAGGAACAGCCACAAGCTAACCTCATCTCACCTATACCTCAGCTTCCAAATGGGAGATACTTCCTGTCTACCCATGCTTATATGCCTTGCTGTTCTGCCACCTGATTTGCTCTCTCTGTCCAGCTACATCACTTCCTCTTCCTGCCAAGCTCTGTCACTCCCTGTCTGTCTGTACAGACCTCCATGGTTAACTAGTGTTGGAATTTCAGGCATGTGCCACCACACATGGCTCTGTTTCCAGTGTGGCCTTGAACTCACAGAGATCTAGACAGATCCCTGTCTGCCAAATGATAGAATTAAAGGTGTGTGCTAACATTGCATGACTTTTGTGTTTACTTATAATGGCTGGTTTTTTCCTCTGATCTCCAGGCAAGTTTTATTTATTAAAGCACAAATAAAGCCGGGCGGTGGTGGCGCACGCCTTTAATCCCAGCACTCGGGAGGCAGAGCCAGGCGGATCTCTGTGAGTTCGAGGCCAGTCTGGGCTACCAAGTGAGTTCCAGGAGAGGCGCAAAGCTACACAGAGAAACCCTGTCTCGAAAAACAAAAAAACAAAAAAACAAAACAAAACAAAAAGCACAAATAAAATATCACCACATTTCAGCACAAATAAAATATCACCACAACCATGTTATCTTATGCATCCCCAAACCTTCCCAGGGGCTTCATGGGCTGCTCATCTAGTTTTGCTTGGGAAGGAAGCCAGCACACAATTGCTCCAAATATGAAGAACTATTCAGCTGAAGAGAAGACCCAGGGGGGCTATCTGCCTGCCCTTTGCCTAGAAACAGGACAGAGACCCTTCTAATCTTACCCCACCAGTTTCTACCCAAAGAGAGGAGGTACATTCTCTTCCACAGTTCACCTCTGTTGTTTGTTTTTGTTCTTTTGAGGAGCCCACCACCCAGCTCCCAAATAAGTACACACAGAGACATAGTCTTGCTTATGAATGCCTGACCTTAGCTTGGCTTATTTCTTGCCAGCTTTCCGTAACTTAAATTATCCCATCTGTGGGCTCTTCCCATTCTCTTACTTCTGTAAATTTTTGGTTTTTCGAGACAGGGTTTCTCTGTGTAGCTTTGTGCCTTTCCTGGAACTCACTCTGTAGTCCAGGCTGGCCTCGAACTCACAGAGATCCACCTGCCTCTGCCTCCCAAGTGTACACGCCAACACTGTCTGGCAGTTCTGTAAATCTAACTCTTACTCTGTGACTGGCCCCTGGGTCCTCCTCCTTCTCTGGCTACCTCTTTCATCATGCCTTCATCTCTTTTTCTCCTCCCAGATTTCTCCTTCAGTATATTCTTTCTCCTGCCTTGCTATTGACCATTCAGTTCTTTATTAGACCATCAGGTGCTTTAGACAGGCACAGTAACACAGCTTAGCAGAGTTAAACAAATACAACATAAACAAAAGTAACACACCTTAAAATAATATTTGCCAACACTCATCAGCTCAGAAACTGAGAATCTGCAGACTTTTCTCAATGAGCCTTTTCCAACACTGCCCTTCCCAGAATGTCCCTGGAAGCCTGCAGCTGCTTTTCTCTGTCTTGTCATTGCTTTGAAATTTATTATTCTCAAAGGGCTGGCAGGATTGCTCAGTGGGTAGAGGTATTTGGTGGAAGCCTGATGACCTGAGTTCAATCCTAGAGACCCATACAGTGGAAGAAGAGGATCAGGGCCTGAAAGTTGTCCTCTGATCTCCACATTTGAGTCATAACACGTGTACCTGTACACACACACACTCTAATCAAATAAATGCACAATGTGGTGGTTTGAGTAAGAATAGCCCTCATAGACTCAAATATTTGATACTTAGTCATCAGGGAGTGACACTACTTGAAAGGATTAGAAGGATTAGGAGGATTAGAAGGTGTGGCCTTGTTGGAGGAAGCATGTCACTGGGGGTGGACTTTGAGGTTTCAAAAGCTCATGTCAAGCCTAGTCTCTTTCTGTCTGAGGATCAGGATGTAGCTCTCAGCTACTTCTCCAGCACCATGCCTGCCATATCTGCTGCCATGCTCCCAACCATGAAGATAATGGACTAAACCTCTGAAACTGTAAGCAAGCCTCCAATTAAAAGCTTTCTTTTATAAGAGTTGCCTTGGTCATGGTGTCTCTTCACAGCAATAGAACAATAAGTAAGACAAATAATGTCATGGAATTTATGGTTCTCAGTTAGGTAATAAATAAGTCAGGTTCCTGCCCTGGTAACCTGTGTGTTCTCCCATGTGATGTATGTGTCATGTGCTGATAAACGTCCTTCTCTTATGAATCTCTCGTTTCAGGACTCTGACTCAACTACAAACTTAAGAGGATTGAGGAGGAAAATTACATTTTATTTCCCTCACAGTGAAGGAAAGCTGAAGTGCAAAAAAAGTATTCTAAGTTCATGTGTCAAATAATGATTGTTGGAGTGAGACAAATACGACTAGAATAAGATAAAGTTGTTTGCCAGAAGTGTTTAAGGGAACACGATACTGAATTGTGCTTTTAAAAAAAAAAAAACTAATTTAAAACCTTTGAATTAGAGAGGGTGTTACACAGCAAAACCCGATTAAGGTATACTCTACCAATGCGTTAATTAGCTATGGGTCTTGTAGAAATCTACTAGCAAATTGTGGTTCGCTGACTAGACTACTTCCATTGTTTTTCCTAGTCTTTAATCATTGCTCTATTAATACTTTCTGTAATATAAAGTGCAGTTATCAGCCCTCATCAAAACAAAAGAGGGAGAAAGAAAGATGGAGGGAGGGCCAGGAAAGGAAAGGCTAAAGCAGAGAGAGGGGTGTGACACCGTGAAGGACTGTCTGTCAGGAGGGAAAGCTGATACGCTGGCTCAGAATTAATAGGAAGAGTTCTTCTCTATTTGATCGTGGTTTTAGTTTCTGACACAAGATCTCACTAGACAGGCCACGACGACCTCCTACTTGAGATCCTCTGGCCTCTGCCTCCCAAGTGTACCACCATGC